ATATGTAAGAAGCAAGATTTCATGTAGAGAACAGTTAATGAAAAAATTATGACCATTTCAAGAGCTATTGAAATGATAAGAAGAAAACGTATGAGACAATATAAAGACTTGGTAATTTTACGTTCGTTTTAGGATCAACCAAAAACTTTCAAGCTCTACTAACATGCGGTAAGTAGGTTTTGAATAACTCAGTTTTTTCCCATTTCTTCCAAAAATATTCCTGCATTTCTGATCTAAGTCCTAAACATATGTTACAGCTATTTCTGGGGACAAAATTTGGTTTACGGAATAAAATCATTTGGAAAGCCAAAGAAAATTTCAAGTTCTAAAAAAGCAAGTTAATCAAATGAATTACTAGCAAAGATCTAGGTAAAAGACAAAAATTCAGGAACTGAAATAAAAATCACAAGCAATATTGAATTAAAACAAAACGGAACTTACGATAAGGACTAGATCTAAAATATGTTATTTGGCCCGGATGAATACTGATCATTTTTTTAAACGAATAATCATAATGGGGAAATCTTAGTAATAAAATATATTAAGTCGTGGCAGGGAGAAAAGCAACGAAGTACTGGCCAGCATCCCTATAAGTTTAACATTCTTCTTAAAAATATGGAGTGAAATGGATAATCTTGTAGATACTGCTTCATCTTTTATATGCTAAACATTATTCAGTTCTATCATGGACTAGAACTAGTTAATTTATCAACTATCGTCATATAGTTGAATCAATTATGTTGGCTACGCCATTGTAACATTGTAACATTTCTCCAAGGCTTCAATCAGCCGAAATTTTATGAAGAAAGCCTCAGTAAAAATGATTTGGGAATTGCTGAAATATCGATGTAAAGAAAACAGAAATCTAACAACTAGAACCTTTTTGTTACCAGCGAACACGAACATATCCGCCGGTTCTAATGTCATCTGCAGATCGATCATTTTGTTATACAGATTGCGAATTGTGAAAATAACTGGAATTGCTGTTCGTACAATGAGATAAGAAGTTTGAGGTTGCGCTTCAACTGATAATGGAGAATTTTTTACGAGAACAGATCCAATGTTAAGTTGAGACAAAACCCATCCCTCTAACACACTATTCCTGCAACATGACTCGCCTAAGTTAAGCTGAAAAGATGGCACGATTTCAAAAGCATACCTTACACTATTAATTTAAAAAAGTTTACCGCGCGTATGACGAAACAAATTATATAATTTTAATAAATTTAAATTTAACCTTCTCCAACGTATATTTATTTCACCCAGATCACATCGCTCTTCCGCTTTCACCGAAAATCGGACAGGTGAACAAACCGTTATTATATCGTTCTCAGAGCAGCAAATTTCATCTATAATATCTGAATTAGTTTCGCAATGCTCTGTAACATAAGGAACTCTATAATATCTGTAACCACTTACTTTTCAGCAAAATCTTATCGTCTTTATCAGCTTCCACTTCAGTGCCCTAAAAATAATAAACATGGTGAACCATATCAGCATAATGTTAAATTTCAAAACAACATCTAGTTTTAATCTTATTACACTCCAAACAATACTATCGGCTCATACAGGTATCGTTGAATCGTTGATTGTAGTGGTACTATGAGGGTATTAATTTTAGCTATAATAAAAATATGCACGTTAAAGTTTCAATCATAACAGATCAAATGTTGATTTTATGTGAAACTTGTCTAATTTTTGCAAAAAATTTTATTAATCGTTGCTGAGATTTCTAAAACGATTAGAAATATAATTCAAGTTGATGATTCCTGCGAAGAAGAAACGAGGGAACACATTTTCTTCCTTTCCAAAGGGCAACATGTTATTTCACTATTTATTTTATAAAGTTAGCAACTGAGAATATCTTAGTTAAAGCTGTCATTCATCTCTCATTGCTCATCACATCGATTTAGTGCAGTAATGAAACGTTCTATTTCATGGTATCCTAATTACCACAATTTGTTTCTCAAGAATTTATTATCTTAAGAATCATTATATAATTTAACAGACCATCTTACGTTGCTACAAAATTGTTTTGATTAATATGATAAAACACTTACTAATACATATAATACCAACTTACCGATCTCCATGATATATCCGAAATAACTATATGAGCGACTGTTGTGATATCTGCCCGAATAAAGAAATTGGTTTCCACAAGCGGATTTTCGATAACATCATTCTTTAAAGAGAAAGATGCATGAAAGTTAAATCTTAAAGAAAGACAAATATAAGTAAAAAAATATAGCAGTTATTTACGTTGACTTCATCGTTATATCCATAACGTAGCATCATACTTTAATGATATAAGCAGTACAGTATACAATCCTGGAAGAAAAAAACTCGGATAAGCAATTCATGTTGAAATTTGAATTCGCTCAACAATTAAAGTTACGTCAATGAAAATGAACACCGACATTTATAGTCAGTATTTTACTGCTGATATCGAATGGAAGTCGTGACCGCATCGATATTAAAAAGCGTTTCTGTACTGTCATGTTGTCAAGCTGTATAGAAGCCTATAACAAAAAAAAATTCATCAAAGAATGTTTATAAACTCAGTTACTCAGGTAAACAATTCAATTTAAGTGAGACATCTAAAAACATACCATTACCGACATATTTGTCGAGCAGACAGTCTGACTGCAATATTTTACATTCAGCTGAACCTACAAAACCACTGTTTATGAATTTTTGACATTTAAATGCAAATTCAACTAAAAACAGGTTTATTGATCATCAAAATTTTCGATGCGTGAAGTGACCATACACCATTGAACGTAGAATTATTTACATTGCTGAACGGATTACAAAATGAGTAGAAGATATAAATTCTAATAAATGGATGTTTCGACCTTGAATGGCGGGATTTGAGAGTTTCTGTATTCTAAAACTTTTGTACCATTTGAAACAAACTGATTTTCTTCATTGACGAAAACCACACTTCCAGCTACCTCCTCCTTCGCGTCTAATGACCAATCCAGTCTGCAATTGAATTTTTCAATTAATCCAATTTGATTAGAAAAATTCATTAAAAATGAGGGTAAGCATACCTAACACTTCCTATCGGACTGGTTTCCTCACATATAAACGATAGCGGCATTGTAGCAATTTCACCAAGCAGTGCTTCATTTTGATCAGCTTCTTCAAGACGCAAATGAGCTTCACGTGGCTCAATTCTGATAAAAATGGATTTGAAAACAGTATTACAATAAAATTAGTTGGCATTGGAAACAAATAAAAAAGTGTGAAATTAATGAACAATACCTGGAAGAGAAATGTCAAAACTTACTTAAGTGTTGTCTGACCAACACATGCGTCTAATATGGAATTCATGTACGAATTATCATAAGTGCCATATGACAACGACTGAGCATCCCAGTCTAATGTACCATAAACAGATGAGTGTACGGAACCCATTTCTAAGCTTAATCCATTCACCTTGAAGAAAAAATTGTATTCTATCTGCATGTATGCATGTATATATAATTAATTCGAACTGTATAACATATGTCCAACTCTAAGGTGAAAGCTTTTTGACTTCTATAGGAATAAGTAAAAACGAAAATGAATAAATTCAGACAAAAATACTGAAATTATTACCATTAGTTGCCTGGCAGTTGTGCAATATGAATGAGGTAATGACATCTTGTACATTTTAACAGTTTCTTTTCTTGGATTAACTTCAACATTGTCCTCGGTAAATTCATATAATGGTGACTGTTCCGTTTCCTTACTGCCATCACTGACAGCAATTTTCATTTTTTCAAAAAAGACTGTTTTAGTACAGTATGACGAAAGAGCGACCTAAACGATGGTTCGTTATGATTTATAATATTTAAATAGTGAGTGTAGACATTATCGATAACCGATACCGTCCGATCCTTCAATATATTTTTCGGTAAAGTTTAGGCGTGCTACAAAGGGTAACATTTGAGCTTTCCAAAACTATCTCATGATGCAAGTCATCAAAAAATTACCTATTTCTCTATCAGCAGCTTTAAATACCAGTTGAAAGTATTAGCAAAAGCAAAAATATTATAAATCCTTACAGCAAATATAGAACCAAAGGAAAAAAGATCATTAGTCTATATCAAATCAGACAAAATTACCATAAGAAGAATTAATGAGTCGGCATGAACAGTTTCCGTAGTATTATTAAGGAACGCAACTCGAGCACGAATAAACGCATCGATACGAGGAGCGCTTATCGAAAAAAATACACGCTCGGCAAATGCTGTCTTCCAAATATGTTGACATGCTTCTACCTTCAAAACCGATCAAAATATTTTAAAACATTACAAGTATTCTAACTGATCTGAACCCATCCATCTATTTTTACTTCAGTTCCAACTTTTATTTTTTTTATTTAAAATCATTAGAGAAATGCGGATAAAATTCAACATTTTATGATAGGATCTTTGAGTGGAGTTTGATCCATCGCGGTGACAAGAAGTGACTGGAACTTTTCGACATAGATAGAAGTGAAACTCAAAATGAGTATTTGTCAGAAAGTTTAAATTATATCATTCATTTGAATAAGTCAGACGAATTAACAGTCCAATGAAATATAAAAAACAACGAACATCAGCTGAAGACATATTAACATGTGGAATAGGTATATGCGGTGGAAAGCCCTGACGAATCAATCCAATATTTGTCATAATCTGTTCCGTAATAGAAGCAAATGTCGGGAATGTGCGTAAGTTAAGCATTTGCATACTAAGCGTCATAAATTCCTTCACGTCTGCCACTCGAAATGCACAGATAAGGGCACGCAGAAGAAGCATCGTAATTGGTTGCATGAAACCTTCCCGGCGACATTCCCAAATTAAATGTGATGCAAACTAAAATTAGAGGAGATCAAAAATTTGGAAAATAGAAGCAAGTAATTATCATAAAGACTACCTGCAAAGCTTTGACATATTGACCCGTTACAAAATATTCATCTGACAACAAAAGCATCATATAACGTTGCATTCGCAAACACTTGTATTTTTTGAACTGTGACATCGCAGAAGTGAGTAGGGCAATGCATCGATCGTGATTTGGGGAACACCGTAACTGCAGAATATATTTTATTTTTCTTTTAAATTGCCAAAGTTATTAAAATGTTTTCGCCATGCGATCAAAGCATTGAAAAAGCTTGACTGGTCTAAATAATTTAAAGCTAAATTTAAATTATTAAAAGAATTATATAATATTGACCTCAAGTGCGATGAGAGCATTCTTTTCAGTTTCCGGATCTAACAGACTGCCATTTTCCGTAGCTGTCCTCCATGGCCTTTGACCATAAAAAATGTCTGCAGTTGGCAGCAAAGGATCAGGGCTTGGGTAAACTAACCCAGCTAACTGTGATGAAACATTTAGAACGGTAATAGCTTCGTTTGCTTGCCGATAATAGCAAGCTGCTGCTTGAAGATATATTCCTGGATGTTGAGTTGACACGGCAACCAAACCACTCATGACGGCTCGTTCAAATAAATTCGCAAACAATGAACACTGAAATGAATCTGATGCATATAACATGCGAAAATGTTTGAAACATAAAGTCACTTATTACTGTTACAATGAAATCTAAAAGTCATCCTAGAATCATACTAGAATTACAATGAAACCCAAAAACCATACTAGAAAAAATAAAGAGGGAGACATGAAAAGCAAAAATCATATTAGAATCCGAAAACACAGAGGCAGACCTGTTTGCCTTTCCATAATAAATGCTCAATTGATGCAGTGGCTGGGGATGGATACGAACCTGGAGGTAAGCAGAAAAATACGTTATTATGCCTCCGCTGTTGTGCTAATGCTTCTAAAGCTGCACTGTGAAAAAATGATAATTGACATATCTGGAATTGATATAAAAATCTATAATTTACGATGTTCTTTTTAATTTGCTTCTAAACAATAGACCTCTTAAAAGTTTCACAGAAAAAGTTTCCAAAGCAATCGCTTTGAATACCGTTGAAAATTTCAGCAAAAGCTATGAAGAATGTAAAGCATGGTATGATCGCTAAAAAAGCAAAAATTACTTTGTAATTCAGAAGTCCAGCCACAGCGCGTAGTTCAAATATTTCTCTATCAACAGTTTCGCATTCGGTACAATGCTGATATGCTAGCTTATAATGTCTAAAAACGGATTTGAAAGAAAAAAATTCTCAACAAAAATTCTGCAACATTACCCACAGTATCATTTTTTGATGAAATAAAGAAAAGAGCAAATTGCAAACGAAAAAAGCAAGAATAGACGTGGAAGAAAAAAGTTTAGGAACGTGAAATGACTAGCAAATGATGACTTTTAAATTTGTTTTTAGCAGAACAAATTCAAATCCATCTAACCACTCCTAACAAAGAAATTATCTCATCATTTACTGCAGGATTTGAATACTAACAATGAAAGGCATATGGATACAAAGTAAATTTCCTAGGTCAAGCAACCATTTGATTAATCAGCAATACGAAATAGGAAATTCGATTTATAAAGTGAAAAACAATGCGAATTTGATCGAAATAAATGATCAATTCACGTAGTGGAGTATCAAAAATATTGATAAATAATAATTGTGAATCACAATAGAAAGATAAAACTAAAGATATTTGAGGTATATGATCATTGTAGAATTGTGAATCTTGAAAGGAATTCACTCATAAAAAAAATTGCAGAAACAAGCAATAGAAAAATAATAACCTGAGTGCTGTGTGCGTGTCTTGTCGTAGTTCCGAAAGAAAAGCCAGTTTAAACTGCTGACGAATTATAAGATTCGAAAGATTATTTGGTATTGATCGCGCACGGATTGACTTCAGACACTGTTGATAGAATGCTTGAGCTAATTCATGGAATGCGGTTTCAAGCCTACAAAAAATAAACTATACTACAGCTTGACAAGAAACCGTCTCTTACAATCATAAAAATTCTCGCTAAAGAAAATAGCAAAATAACAACAATATCAAGCCATATTCTCAAATATTTATATTAAAGAGTAAGAGTAGACATAAAAACTACCCAAATTTAAGATCCTTAGGTGAGACATGATCAAAAAAATTGCAGAGATGGAGAATAAATAAAACGAAACCTTAAAACCGATGAGAACATTCGTTCGCCTAAGGGTAAAACAAACAGCTGTTTTGCTGGAAGCTGACATAGCTGGCACAGTTTGGTTGTTCTTTCAACAGCTAGTGGATTGTCTATCAGCTGAGTTTGCTGTAGCAACACAATACAAATCCGAGTTGCATGGCTTCCAATGCTTGCCCTATAGTACACTTCGATTATACAATATTATATAACCAGTTACCTCGAATTTCAAAGTAAAAAAGAAGTCGTCTTTTTTGACGATCGTTTTAAAAATGATTGTAATTTTTTATTTTACACAAAGTCCGGTAAGTCAACCGATCACTCCCAGATGAAAGCCACATATATCTGAGGTTCAGAAGGAATAAGAAGAATTCCCCAAAAGCTTGAGCGACGAAAAATTTCAAACTCGACCTGCAAACCTTTGGACTAAATCCATGCAGCAAAGTCAATATTACCTAAGTGAGGAAATTTTCGATTCGCATTCTGTAGCCTTTTCATTCCAGGATGGATGATCCCATCCCAAATCAGCAAAGAGTACGATAACGGATGGTAATTCACTGACGTATTTCTTGAACCAATCCACTCTAATAAATCCACGCGAAAAATTCGAGATCTAAAATGCTTACAGTTCTTATCCCCATCACTCTAACTAGAATCCGCCTCCATTTTCTGCTTCCTTTCGGTTCTGTTATTGTTTTAAATTCATCTTCTCTGTTTTCCTTTAATCTCACTACTCATTTTGATACACCATCTTAAATTACACCTTTGTTGATGTACCCTCGATTCGCAAAACGTCTGAGTAACACTTAGCATGACAAATCCCTCTAATCTTACCACTCATTTTATTACACCATCCTAAATTATACCGATTGTCGGCGTACTTTCGATTCGCAGAACGTCTGAGTACCATTTAGCATGACAAAATCAATTGGTGGACGATCCACCTCTCGATTTACAGTAAAAGCTGAGAAGACGGCAGCATGAGATCTGTTATTGATAATATCCAGTCCTGTCAGGAAAATAAGTTGATTTTGTCGACTAGCAACCAATATTTCGGGAATATCATCACTATCCATCCTTACTACTAAAATACATCGACGAACGAATCCATGACGCAATTAGAGTATAACTAAGATACGCCGACGTCACTCACTGCAACAGCATCACACAATATTGTACGTAACTAGCGCCAGCATATTGCAATGCACATATGAGATAAAGCACAGTTACTTTCACAACCCCCCAATTTCTGAAAAGCAAAAAAAGGATCTAAATCCATTTAAATCCACCCATTAAGAATGAACTATGACCGTAATATTGCGGAACGGGTAGGTACGCATAATTATTCGTCGTGAATGCAAGCAGCAATAACAATATTTCAATTTTATTCCAAGGAAAACATAGTGTTACAACAGAACAAAAGAAATGTAACAGAATACAAAGAAAAATTGATCATGATTACTTCTTTCTTTTTCTGCTCCTTGTCAATTCAACTGAAAGGCATTTCTTTCATTTGTATATTAAACTAGTTTAAAAGATGCATTCACCCCATAAAAAATAATATTAATTAGCAAAAACATGATGGTTCTTATTCCTTACCTTTCTGAATCCAATATCGGAAGCATACTCTCTGAAACATCGCCGACACATATTAAGTCCATATTTTCTGATTAACCCATGATGGTTCGAACAAACTCGGCTAAAAATGCAATTATCTCACCTCACAATGCTGCAACGACATTTACAAACAACGCTTAGGCATCCGACTATGAAACGATAACTTCGGATACGAAAACACTCAAAACAACTCAGAATGTGGGAACAGAACTGAGTGATAACTAACCATGAGCGAGAACCTGGACCATACTTGCGTGGATGCGAAAACCATAAATTTTGATGGCCCATCTTGATTTTGGTTATCGTATATGAATTCAGTTTCTGGTGCCCAAAAACGGCTTCTAAAATTACAAAAAAAATGTGATGCTGAAGCAGAAAGATGTGCCTCGTCACAAACTTTGCACAACATGTCGCATGATTCATATGTCAAAATATTCTTTAATTATTAGGTTATTTTGGTTGTTAGAGACTTTCATGTCATAACATTTAGCGTATACTAAAGTCATTGTCACAATCACGAACAATAACAAATAGACATTCTCGGTATCACGTCACAGGCTAATTTCGCCAATACAGCCCACAAAACAGAGAACGTACGTCTAACAAGAATATGATTCTGACAGTGAAATATACCAAAATTCAAAGTTAGAAAAGTTTCTAACAAGCACGATCGACTGAACCCCAAAGAGTATTTAACATATAATGTGGTTCGCCTTTATCAAGATGCATACATATATTTTCAGGAAAAGAAAGTTGCACAAGAACTCGAAGTTTCTTAAGAAGAGCGAGAAGCTGTCACTGCGGGCTCAATATCTCAATGGTGCCAGGCGCAGCACAAAAAAATAAAAAGCCAACTGAAGAAAATGCAAAATGTTGCTTCATCGGGAGATCTGATGTGGAATCTTATGAAGCGGCACACACTACTTAAAAAGCCAGAGTGTGCCGCATTAAGCCTGTTATGTTGAGAAGCCGTATGTCGCAAAGCCAATCCCAAATAAAACACCAAACCCTCCTTCCTCCGTCCAACTGTTCATCTGACGCTAATACAAAAATCACGGCCAGGAGAAGCCTTAAAGTAGCGCTATGCAATTCGCATCTCTGATAGAATTAACCGAGAAACATGCGGAATTCCCCCATCGTCCTCCTTTCATACTTCTCACGAGCAGGGAGACTGTGTTATTGCTTTGGTTAAGTTTCTGTTCGGAGGCTGAGGAATGCAGTTACTAATCTGCACTACAAGGATAGGACTGCCATGCTACCCTACCAACTAATTATATCTCCTACTTCCAAATATTCTTTACATAATTAATTTGCGCGATCAGCTATCTATTTAGATAAATTTAATCCGGTGATGTGTCCACTCATTTGTATATTTATCTGTCCATTTCTTTCTTTACCTTATGGATCCACAGTATTTCTATAATCTATATTGCTTTTAATAGCAACATTTGAAAACTAAAGGAGTTTTTGTTTGTTGGTTAGAACCAGTATAACCGTCATAAATCTCTATTTCTACGTAGATGACTTCGTAATCGTACGAGACTCAGCGCGCATCTTAAAATATATTTTTCAAAAACAGCAAAAAGTTTTGCAGAAACTCCGTTAATTTTATGATCAACGAAATGAAGCCTAAAAAATCACATTTAGTCAACAGTGCCTTTTCCTGTGAAAGACAAGAAGCTTCTGGTCCACCTTTCAATTGGTTCGCATGAGTAACCAATCTAAAACGGTAGAAACCAAACGATCATCCGAAGGGTACTTTCATAGTATAATTCTATTATAAAAATTCAATAAAGAAATTCGGAATTTTATCGCTTTTAAAAAAGTGAAACCAATTACCAACAGACTTATGAGAATCCGAAGGGTGTTTAAATTTTCTTAAATTTTATCTTCTGTATAAAGTGTTAAAACTATATTGTTCAAGAAAAAACTGAAACTTGCATCGAAATATATTGTAATGCTAAATAGGTCGGAAATCCGAAATAATTTTATAGTTTAAAATATTTGTATAATCAAAGTATAATTACATTCGTGAAATCAATGTTATAGAAATCTTTTGTCCCAAATGTTCCCAGCCAATGATAGGATATTCTTTGTTTAATATCTCAATTCATTATTCTAATGAAATCTAGAAATTTAATCAGCAAAAATGTTCCACTTCTTCAGTACGCTGGTTATTCATTCATTGTCGATCGGTTGTTTCTCACTATTATCTTTTCTCAATTTTTCGAAATCCATCAGCTTTATCCTGTGAAGTGCCAAAGCTTGGAGCGTTTGTGAATTAGCAGATGTTATCTGAAAAAGACTACCTTTATTTTAATTTAAGAGGAGAGTATGCTTATTAATTATTAATTTGTTAACTTGTTAGAGTAATTTGAATTTACCCACCTTAACAGCAACATAATCACCAGGGTTTAGCTCCACCAATTTCGAACCATCATTGTAGTATTTGTGAATGATTACGCTAATTCCGCCATCACTTCGACCTCGCAAATGCTCAGAAGAACGTTTGCTCACCTACAGATGTTCAAAATTTTTGGCACAAAATTCAGAAGCATTTTAAAATTTCAAGCATTTGTAAAGAATTTTCAAACTATATTTTTTGCTTGAGATAGAAAATAGGTTCTGAATGGATCATTATCATAAAGAGCTGTTGACTAAAACCTCCCAAAGAATACTGGATGGGAGATAAAACCAAAAATATCTTCAAACCTGAGAGAAAAACAAAAGCAATTCGGCAATACTAGTATCATGTATATGTTAATGCTTCATTATTTCATGGACTTTCATAGGTTTCCGGAGCTTGCCTTATGGATCGAGTAAACAAGCAATTTGTTCGAAACAATCTAACCCGTAAAATATTCAAAAACCAATATGTCCTTATCATGAATGATTAAAATTTGGATCCACCTATTTCGCAAATTTTTAGTGAGCACTACAAACTAACACATATAGATAAGCCACACTTCCTCTAAAAGCACTAGCTGTTTGCTTCCAACGAGGCTCTTGTTGTATTTCAATGCTGTTTCTCTAAAAACGCTCGCCAATTCCTGATGGCGTCTATTCTTCACTTCCTTCGGTACGTTATCCTTCAGATGTCGATATGCTTTTGTTTTCTGTAATGTTACTACCAGCTATTTTTTTTGCTTTCATTCTATATTTATTCTGCATTGGATCAGGAACGATTTACAAAAAAAAATACCGAATCCAATTTTGAAAAGATCACTTACCTCCCTCTGGCTATAAGGAAAAACATAACAAAAAGAATAAGCGACATGTCTGATCAAATCCAGAGATTCCTGATGAAATTCCTCGGTTTCACCACAGAATCCAGCAATGAAATCACTGGTGAGAGACACGTCTAAATTTTACAATTAAATGATGTGTAACGGATTTCGAACCAGATTGAAAAGTAGGGTTATTTTAATTTTCGGTTGAATGCCATTACTTGGTAAGGTAGTTTTAATGCAATCGACCAGTTCTAAATAATTTTCTCTACTATAGCCACGATCCATCGTTTCCAATATAACATTGCTACCACTTTGTGCTGGCAAATGAATTTGTTTACATATATTTGGACGTTCTTTTATCAATTTTATTACCTATAAAATCCCAAATTAATTGTAAAACTAAATACCAGGTTTAAAATATTGAAACTTGAAACGAAAAAAATTCAAGGCTCATCTCATTTACACTAACATTCCTTATTTATGGAAAATTAGCAAAACATTTTAAAGAGAATACCTCAAAAGGAAAATCTTTAGGATGTGGTGAGGTGAACCGTATCCTCATTTCCGGATCAATTCGTGACACTTTATCCAGGAGGGTAAGGAAAGTATATCCACCTTTCTTCGGTTTATATTTGGTGCGAAATCCAGGAGTCATACCAGGTTCTGTCAAACATGTAGAAGGAAACGATATTTCCGATAGGTCTCGATAGCTGTTGACGTTCTGTCCAAGCAGAGTCACCTGTTTCACACCCTACAAAAAAAAGAACGATAGTATCTTTTTTTGTATGATTAAGCGAACAACATCAGAAAGCTTCAGAAAAAAATATCTCGAAGGGTTCGAGCATATATAAAAGTTACCTCATCAGATAAACTCCTGATTTCATCAAGTATGGAATTCATCGGACGACTCCTCTCTCGTCCTCTCGTATACGGTACAACACAGTACGTGCACATGTTATCACAACCGCGCATTATTGACCTGTAATAAGGCAACTGAGCAAGAGAGCATAAAAATAGGTAGTAAGCAACTTCCGCATTATTTGAAAAGCAACAGAAGTATTATTACACTAGACATCCAATTACGTCTTGCACATATATGCATATATAAATAAAACGAACACAAAAGCTGTTTTGGAAAACTTGTCCTTTCGAACCGGAACAATATCAGCGTAGGTTTCCTCTAACGATAGTTGTACATTTATTGCCATGCTTCCACAGCGGGCAATTGCCAACAGTCGCGGTAAATCACGGTATGAATCGGGTCCAGCTACCACATCAACATTTTCAGTACATGTCAATAAATTATGCCTTACTCGTTCTGCCATGCAACCTTTAAGTTAAGAACTGTAAGCTATTATTGTCTTATTTTGCTTACAAGAATATCAGCAAATTATGTTTCAATGACATGCCTAGCGGATAATTACAATGTACAGAAAAAATGTTATCAAAGGCAAGTGTTTTTTTAAAAAATCAACTAAGTAAAACTCCAACCCATTTTTTACCTAAAACTCCAACAATACCATTTTTCCGTCGTATCTTTCTCAACACTTTCAGCTCGTCCCACACTTTGTTTTCAGCACCTTCACGTATCGAACATGTCATCAATAATACGATGTCAGCCTAAATAGAAATAACATACATCAATAGCCTAAATATTATGATCAAAATACAAGTAAAGTAAGCAAAGAGAAGTTACACCAACTTCTTTGACATCATCTGTTTCCACATAACCTGTTGATAGCAACAATGAGCGCACCAATTCCACATCATTTACATTCATTTGACAACCATATGTTATGAAGTTTACTGAAATATATATCGCAAAGATATTTTCATATTAATGAAAATTATCATAAATCATAACTTTGAGCATGCCTTTCAATCCATCGCCATACGACGATATTGTACTCAACGACCCATCCATCTCTTCTATCTTTGGCATCACCTTGCCCAAACGTTCACTGTTTATCTTATTGATGAAGTGATCCAAACCAGGGCCATCTATAAGTACTACCATAGTCATCAAAGTTTTTAACATTTAGCAACTTTCGAAATAATTCCCGGAAGCTTTACCGATGTTAAATTTCGGATGCCTTTTCTGAATAAGCGATGCAAACGGTTTGATTTGCGAATAACCAATTAGCGAGGAATACAATTGTTGCAAGCCGCTGCTTCCCATATGGAATTTGGAGATAACGTATCGGTTCTTCGTACAAAACATTGCTATGTGATCCTGAGATCCCAAACTGAACAACTCAGATTAACGTCCATCATTTATTTTAAACGAAAGTTCACCATATCCACAAAGACCATATAAAAAGCATATCAACTCGAAACAGTATTAATCTTAAGTAACTTTTAGGATTTTGCAAATATGGTTCCGAATGTATTTTGCAGAAATGGTCGCTGATCACCAAAATCGCATTTTGAAATAATTTATTAAACTTTCATAAGCGCACAAATATAAACTATTGATTATATAATATTTTTGGGTTCCGTTCTTCTCCTTGCTATTTCACCATCCTGAAAATACGATAATATGACGACAATTATGATTGGAAGAGGGATTCCTGAAAGGATATTACTAAATATAGAGGCATAATTCAATAATAGTGACATCAGTGAGTATGACTCAATAAAACATAATTTTCGTAGCTAATTTGACAACCTGCAAAATTACTTAGCCAAAGCTTCATACCGTTCCAAATTCGTAATATTCAGGAACCAGCTGATGCAACCATTCTGGTTCAATTACGCTGATGTCACGGATCGAATCTTGTAGCACTTCCGTGAATATTATCCTGAATTTCACTTCAAATAAATTAGGATATTTTCAGTAATGTAACTGATTTACATTCTTTACGAAATTGACATTTTTTGCAAACCATTTTGGGAATTCCCTTCTGTACATAATGGCTGATCCCTTGTAAATTTTGAAATGGTGCTTATTCCTGATAGTAACATAATCGCCAGAATAATGATAATAAGCGGCTTGTGAGAAGAATCCTTTCACCAGACAACGAAGTATTGACTTAAATTCTCCTAAAATAATTATGTACTTCAGAAAAATCTTATCTATTGCTATTTGAAAGGAGCATTTATGAGTAATAAACAGAATGCTGGAAAGACGACTAGAAATGTGACAAATACCATTTTCTTTGCATGATTTAATTTGTATATTATGACGTCTCAAAAGGCAAAGCAGCTGATCACGAATTGCTTCCGCACGACACAAACCACGGTAGTTCAGAAAATGATTGATACACCATTTCTTGGATTTCCCATTCTTAAAATAAAGAAAATTAACTAATCTACGTCCGATTTGGCTCTTGTCCTTAAAAGGCTAAGAAATAAATCTTGAAAGACAAACACATTACCAGTATCCATCAAAAATTGACTTGACAACGTGCTCAAAAACTTTATCCTAAGATAACAGAGAAATATACCTGCACGAAATTTGTGAAAACGTTCAAAAGAGTGAAATGGTCCCCTTCCTCAACGGAGAAATTCCTTTTCATTAATTCCTGAAACAGGATAAAAGCATGGTGACTCTATCAAAATTTTTAAAGAAACATGCGAAAAAATTGAAGAGATTTACAGCTTGATGACGACATCTCGCTGGCGTTACAAAAACATCCTGTATTTGAAGCATAGCTATAATCGTTGCAATCTCTTCACTACAACCTAGTTCACCTGAAAATATATTAAACTATTAAATTATAGTTTATCAAATTGCATTCAATATTTTTTCATGACAATCTTAGTTCACATTGAATCCAGCACATACAATTGCCACAAATCGACATCATTTTACAGAAATTTGTATCTCACCCTTCTGGTATCAAAAGTGGAAACTTTCAGCATCAAGAATAGGATCTTTTGTACTAATAATAATCAAAAGAGGGGGGTATTTTATGATAACAGAAATGTGAAATAAAATGTAATTATTTTCATAATGTAACGTTAAACAAAACGATGAATTTTTCTCAGTCCCAAAACAAACGCACCCGAATACAGAAGAGTTCTGGAATGTTGTGGCATCAAAGGAAATTCTGTCATTTGAACCCCTAACGGGTTGGTTAATAAACCGTCATTAGAAAGGGCTCCAAGGTAATATAACAACTGAAGACCTTCAACCATTGCAAAAGAAGACGGCCGCTGAAAATCCTCATATCCTTATAACATCTTCATAACTGAAATAAATTGAATTGAAAGTATCAAAATTAACTACTTATTCAAAAAAAACTTACTGACAAATAATTAAAGCGTAACACATTGTGTATTCCTAAAGCCTTCAACAACAGAATGACACTTGCGAGGTTTAGTCGTTGCATTTCGGGTATAGTATTTACCAGAAGTTTGTTGTATTCTTCTTCTGAAAGTTAATTTCATAAAAAGCACCACTTATAAGAATTAAAACTTCATGGAGGTGTTAGATGCTTAAATTGCGCCGCATGCCGTCAGGTGAAATATACTTTACATACGTGGATAAAGACGATAACATTTTCCAGGGCGGAGTCGTCCTGCCCTGCCTGCACGTTGTTGTGCTGATGCTTGAGAAATAGGTAACTTCATCAAGCTTTCGAAATAATTTTCAGGATTCATTACTCGAAGTTTCACAAAACCGCAATCAATCACTAAAACGATAAAATGAATGATAAAATGAATGATGCATAATCTGTATTTGAACCACGATACTCAGATGTCGCAATAAAAAAGACTGAAAAATAAAGTGGAAATATAGCTGATTTTTCATTTGTTATTTTAATCACAACACTTAATGTACCCCGTGGCTAAAAATATTAAAAATATAAGAGGACAAGATTTTCCAAGCAATGAATCTCCAACTGACCGTAAGTTATGCCGGGTATGGTTAAAGACGTTTCGGCAATATTTGTAGCAATGACGATTTTTCTTGTGCCGTAAGGAGTTGAATCAAAAGCTTTCAACTGAAAGAATATGAAGTTTAAAAATGCACAATAATCGTCAAATATTTTGTAAAAAAAAATTTTGTATATACATAAATAAACATCGTCAGTTATGTTTAATATAAATGCAATTAAAAAAAACCTGCTGAAACAAAAATACGGTACCTGCTCAAATCCCGGTAAAGAGCCATATATCGGTACAATCCAAAGTTTATCTATCGTCTTTTTTCTTATATCTTTAACTGCTTCAAGCAGCTGTTTACTAACTGATTCTATCTGAAAAAACTTATCTTTTGGATCATACTTCTCGTGAACTGTTAAAGCATCTGAAACAAAAACCAAATACCTCATCCTGTCCTGTAAGAAACACCAATACATCGCCGGGTTGTTCATTTTTATGGATGTCAAGGACAGTTTCTACCGTCTTCTGAATATAGTTCGGTACAGCACTGAAAACATTATTCAGAAAAATACGTCTGACACATTTTGTATCAAAAAAACTCACTGGGATCAAAAAAATAATTTTTTAGAAATTTTTATATCTGAAAACTTACTTTCTTGTGTGGTATACAGTAACAGGATGGATGTGACCTTCAACAGAAATAATACTTGTTATATCTTTGTTTCTATCGTTTGTGTCATTTGACTCGAAAAAATCACGAAAAAGCTGCAATTATTGATATTTCAACTACAATTACTGATATTTCAGCTCAATTACTATTTTAACAACAAATAACTAACAATAGCATCAAGAGTTGCAGATGAGATAATTATTCGCAGATCTTGACGTGCGACAATTACTTTTCGCAATAAACCCAACGTAACGTCGGTGTTAATAGAACGTTCGTGCGCTTCATCAATCATCAGTATGCTGTAACAAATCAGTGTTAAATTATTTTCATATGTTGAAAAATGTTAAGCTAAAAAATATATAATACCTGTATTGTGTTAATAAAGGGTCGGACATAAATTCACGAAGAAGAATGCCATCGGTCATGTACTGAAATAATATTGCATTATATCAAAATATTGTTGATTAAAACACATTTACGAATAATTTCAAAAGTCTTTACTGCAGGATAAATATTATTTCGGCACTTATTTGCTTAATTATATCGTTCCTTTTCTTAGTAACCGAAATGCTTATCCGTACATCACTGTGTATTGAGCACCAATGCCTCAAATTATTCCTCAAAAAAATTGCAATTGCTATTGATAATATGCAGTACATTGTTTATAGAAATACATCATGCACCATAGAAAAAAAGCTTGCCTTTATCTTAGTTCCCGAATCAGTCATGTCGTCAAAGCGAACTACATAACCAACATCCGCACCAAGTCTGCATAATTTCTCCTCAGCAACACGATTAGCCAACTAGAAAGAATTCTTTCTATATTACCTAATATTGGGTCTAATAGAAGATATCTTGAAAATGGAAATATAAGAAATAACCGACTATAATTACATCAACTTTAAAAAAAAACCAAAGATTCTTTAGAAAAAAGAAACAAACCATAACTGCCGCTATCCTTCTCGGCTGTGTTACCCCTATTTTTCGTCCATCTGAGGCCCAACCAACCTCCATCAGGTACTAAAAAAATGCCATGCTTTCGTTTTATTTATCCATTAATCGTAAACATTAATCCAAATAACAGATGTATGGTGGAATTCAAATTTATTGTTCTATATTATACCCGTTCTATTTCGGAAGAGCTTTATTATTTGCTTCCAAAGTAGAGTTTTAAATAAAATAAACTTAAAATTCTACTGCATAAAAAGATAATATCAGAAGTTCCTGTTCTTGACAGAGCAATTTAGACTAGAGTACAAATATTCACAATTCATGCTAAGAATCAAGAGTCCTTCATTACGAAATCTTTCTTACCCTCCCCTCCCCACAAAGAAAAAGAAAAAAATGTTGCAATAATCTAAAAGGAAAACACGTTCGAAAAAAACAAATTAAAAGCAATATCATTACCTGAGGTACCTGGGTGCTTTTACCACATCCAGTTTCTCCAACAATTATAAGTATTCGATATTTTTCTAACAGATATATAATATGATTGCGATACTATAATAAACGATGTGCAAATGAAACTTAAAATGTAATTAAAACCGATAAGTGAGCTTCATCAATTGTATTATTAGTTGAGTTCTACCGATAACCTTATCAACCAGTAATCCTACTCATAACTTTATAACACAAGAGAAAAGTTTTATTTCGTTATTATCAGTGAACATAATTGCATTAAACTAAAAATTTATGATGACTCCACACTTCGAAACATTATGCGAATGAATCAATAAATATTTGTATTCAAATCGCACTGTTCTTAAAAATCATCGAGAGATGGATTTATGCTTTTACTGTAAACAATGATAAATTCTTTCTTTTTCATTTCTAATACCTTAAAAATAGGAAGTCGAGTACGTTGCTGCTGAATGGAAAGTGCAAGAAACGGATTATTTACGACCACATTGGATCCTCCTTCGGTTGTGCGGTCCTCCAGTACAAGTGAGCCATTACGATTGTCGAAATTATTATCGTCACCTCGAAAAATAAATATATGCATATGTACGTAAGGATGTGAATGTTCATAGAAACTATAAAGAAGACAAGCAATGATAATAGTAATAATGATGGTAATTACTTAACAACTAATAATTAATAGTAATAATAAATAATAAGGACAATAAATTTTAGTGATAATGCCAGAAAGTATAACGAAAGGCGATTTCAGAATTCGGGTTGACAGGGAATTTCATCTAAACATCAACACGATTAATTCATAATACAGGCAGATAACCATAGTGCAAGCGAACTTAAAACTCGAACTCCGACAGTTTCGAAAGAAAGAGTAACAGTTATTCTATTGAACGATAATTTCAGAATTCTCAGTCCAAGACACCAGTTAGATATCCGAACTACATTTTCAACTGCAATGAAAAATGATATGTGAAAAGACGACAAGAATTTGCTGGAAACAATCAACAATAACGGCAAACTTACTTGGTTTCAGAAAAACTGGTCTACTTCTCTGACTCCCACAAGTTGTGCTTGTTACCGAACATTTCATTGCTACTTCAGATGCTTCATCATACGCCCATCCGCTTCAATTGTAAACCCACCTCAACTTAATATTCTAAATTTTGATAATTGCATGTATCTGTACCGCCCTATACCGTTCCTAGATAAGAAAAGTTGAGCTCATTTGAAAACTGGAATTAAGGAAGATTAATTTCAATTTCTTGAATCTGAACAAATACATCCCACGCTTCAGAAACATCGATAGTGTGCAACTAGCAAAACGAGCTCAGTAACCAACAACATGTTTCATCATATCACTGGCATCTTATTTCGTTTCGATACATACCCAAATTTGTTTCAGGAAATTAAACAATTTATTCCTTATATTTTCATGCAACGACTTGAATGAGTAACAGTCATTTCATATGGACAAATCATGTTGTTTTCAGATAATCTTAGAAGCAGGTAACCACAACCCGTTCAGAAAAACAAAATCACCAAAGTGAACTGATTCGGAAATTCTTGTAGTTAATGGCATTAAACGCTTATTTTACTTCTTACAAATAAATATCATCAATATTAAAGAGCACAACACATAGATAGCAGTGCAATTAACGAAAAAAAAAACGCACTCATGCATTCAAGCTTGCTGTTCCAAACGGTTGGGGAATAAGAAAAAGGAAAAGGAAGAAAACAACACTTCAATTACATTTGTAAACGCAATATGCGTTTATACATAGAAGCAATGTAAACATCTATTGCAGAGAAATCCATTGTTTCTTTTTTCTCAATTACATGGGAAAAATCAATTACGTGAATAAATTCAACAGCAAATACATGAAATTTCTGTAATGTAAACATTTTCACGCAATTTGCGGCCTATCGACGTATCCGCTTCTCAGCTGGAAAATCACCACCCATTGGTGGTCCACGATGGAAACCTCCCGGTGGTCCGCCTTGCATCCCGAAATTTCCTGGCCCCATCGGTCCTGGCCCTCCGGGTCCTCGAAAACCACCAGGCCCAGGACCGCCTGGAGAACCAAACGAAGGTGGCTGCAAAAAAAGAATAACTATTAATAATAATACGAAAATGAGCAATAAAATAATCTAAATTGAAACTTCACTGGGAGGAGAACAAAACATGGCACGAAATCATTACACGATATAATTAATCTAATTAGGTTTTTTAGTAATTTCGTGAGCCATGGCTGGCTCTACAACAATGTTTGGTATTAGAGCCAGCCATGGCTGGCTGGCTCTAATACCAAACATTGTTGTAACACCAAACATACAAAATTTAAAAGAACTTACCACTCCCTGGCACAAAAAGTATGCTGGCTGATCAAGAAAGTTTCAAATAAATTGGCCAGTGATTAACAGCAATACCAAACATACAAAATTTGAAAGAACTTACCACTCCCTGCTGTGGACCACCAGGTCTTGGTGCATCAGCACGAAATATCTGCAGTAGTTTTTGCACGCCTTGTACAAGCGTCGGATCTATAAAATTTTAATATTACGACTGCTGCAATGAATTGACAGCATTACAGTCCACGCTTCTATAAATTATAGCACAACAAATCTTTCCAATTATCGCACAAGAAACCTTTGCCAATGAAAAGGTGCGATTAGATTTCATTTCAAACAAGTAAATTAAGTTAAAAGCAATTTAATTTGCTTTGCTGAAAAACTTTTTTAGCTGAACAAATTAAACTGTTTTTGACATCATCTTCGAAAATTGCCAAAAAATTCTTACCAGGACCACCTCCCTGATTGACTGGTCCACCATGACCGCCTTGTTGGAAGGGTGGTCCTCTTCCTGGATTATCTATTTGCGGTGGTCCACCGCGCTGCATATCAGGTGGACCTCGGCCCATCATTTCTTGTCCTCTTGGTCCTTCAGGTCCGCCTTGTCCACTTGAATTGAAAGGTCCTCCTGAAATAAAAACTTTAGACGAAGTTTTATCAGAATATTTTTTTTTAAAAAATCTTCTACAGAGTATAGAAAAATCCTGGTCAAATGTAAATAAAGTCTAACAGTCAAAACAAGATGAATGTGCATAATCAAGTTATGGAATTTTGCAGATGATAACACACCATAAGAAATTAAGACACAGCAGAAAACGAATGATAGAAATAAATTACTGTGTTGCGGGTGCGAACCTCCTCCGCCAGAACCAGCAACGAAAAATTCACGCGGTGGTGGCCCACCAGACATCCCACCTGGTCCATTCGCCATACCTTGTGGACCAGATGGTCCACCAGCTAAATTACCCAGCAAGGTAGGCATTTCACCACGACGTGCTGCTACCTGTGCCATACGCTCACGTTTTGCAGCTTCTAATCGCTCAAGCTCTTGTTGACGGCGTGCGAGATCTATAATAAAACAGTGTATTACGGCGAAAATTTGAACTTTAAGTTTTGAATTTCAGTGACATTTATTTTATGAAATAAAAATACAGACGGTGAGTAATGGTTATTTATAACTAAATTTACTCTGACTTACTTAGAAATTAAATTATTTCTGCAACACTTTCATATGAATTCGATCATAAATAAAACATGGGAACAAAGCAAGTTAAATGAAACAGAAGTACGCTGTAGTGGAACACTCGGTATCAACCTATTATATGTACTCGCTTTCATAAACATAGTGGTGGTCATAATCTTGCTCTTTTAAACACAAATTTCGAATCGATAAGAAAATCACTGATAATACGCAAATTAGGTAATCAATAAGATGTGACAAAGGTGATGCTGTATCATACTAACACAAATTCAAATTATATCAACCATAATTCATAATGATTATTCCACGGCGTTGACTGGTAAAGAAGGGAACGAGAAATGAATGAAATTCGAACTGATATAAAAATCATTTGAAATTAAAACTTGAACTAAACAAGGTTAAAAAGGAAAAATGCCCAATATTGCGGAATGACTTGAAATAGATATTAGTCCCTCTGCCTAGCAATCTACCTGTAGATGAGAGACCTTGCAGGTCAATCACTACTGGTAAACACTGTCAACGTAGTTCAATTACGTCAACATTTGAATATTTATCTTAAATGACCACTGCACAATCATACTAAAACATATCAGTTTTTTCCCAAGTGCTTTCAAGGAACTTCCAGAACGCGAAAGTAAACTAAGTTCAAGTATATAGAAAGGTTAAAAGCATGAAATCCAGGATCACAATGAGGTACACCACAATATCAGCATCTGCTTCGAGAAACGCGAAACACTATTATGGTTAAATAGATCTTTAATCTTCACCTTCAACACTTTTTACAAAAATAAATAAAAGAAAGTAAAGCTGTTGGGAGAGGAAAAAAATTATAGCGCTTCCTCTTCAACAATTATCTGTTTAGCGATTTATAGTTGGGAATGAATTAATTCTGTCCATACAACAGACGTTTTGGATAATAAAAAGACATTGCGCATCAGATACTCAGCAGAATAAAATGATGTCCGCATAATCAAAACCTAGTAATTCCATTTTCAAATTTTTTTTCATAAAAAGAACATTTTACTATCCAGAAAAGGAAGTGCCGTCTAAATTGATTTCACATCACTTTCTTTGAAATACTTTAAAAACAACGATGATTTTATCTAAAGTGAACCAAAAAGGAAAAATCAAATTCAAAACAAAAATTTGGAAAAATAACTTGAAGTATGTTCCGAGCTGAAGTAACAATCTTCCACATTGATGTAAAAAGGATACAACGCTGTAAAGAGGATACTTTACAGTGAGAGCGAAAAGTGAAAGAGTGTAAAAACCTTGCCTTCACGGAGCAACTGAGTTTGATAATCCTGGTAAGCGAGATCCATATCAGCTTCCAAGCGTCTACGAGCTTCCTTGAGCTCTTCTTCCAATTGAGCTCTACGCTGTCTTTCCACCTCATATAGCTCCTTCCATTTTAACCCGAATACGTATTCGAAGCTGTTTGCCGGTGGAAATCGTGGGCCCACTTCTCGTTCCCTACATAGGTAACACTTGCGCTACACATATTCACTTTTCGCAACATTACTATACTACTCATTACGCACCTCCATTTCTTTGCCAGATACTAATTTCTAACTCACAAAATAATCATACGTTTAATTTAAGCCAATAAAAACCGATAACAATGATCGCACGTGGCACTTCCACGGTAGTACTTTAACTGTACTCAGTACTCCCCTTCATACCATATTATGATCATTTTGGCTTTCTGGGAAACTCAGATATTGCAATTTATCAAACATTATAATAGAAAAAACTTCAAAAGATCGCGCATCTCACGGGAAGCGCTTTGGATGACACATCCGGCATTATTTGCAGCTATTCCAATTTCTGTATCACACAATACCCAAAATATACCTACATTACAGTTCCCCCTGTCCGAAATATTCAGCTCGGTTAATTATTGATAGCTATTGGGACAACTATGCCAAAGCGACCAGCTTCACGAAATGCCTCTACTAAAACATTATGCAATTTCAAGGTTCAGTGAAATTTCAATCATCTGATTCCCTGAGAACGACCACTTTGTCATAACTGAACTCCATTTCCCTCCACCCTTCTTCCAACCAATGATGGCATTTTATCCTTTCTCTACATTGCACGCATCACTCAAACACAATCTAACCACACTCCACTCAAAGTGTAGAAACAATTTTGATAAGTCGCTAATAACTTGGAATTAAGGGGTTCAAACATCACTGTGAAGCCTGAAATAACCATATTAAAACAATGATAAAATTTCCCACACCAGTGTATTACATAATGTAAATAAACATTGCAAACATTTCCCGAGAACAGTTATAATTGTCAAATATATGACCGTAAGAGAAATCTAATCAACCATCATCTAGCAATGGGCAAAATCACCCTTCGGTTTCGTTCATTTCATTTAACTTAAAAAGCATGAGCAATAATTATAAATTACTCTGATGAACTTAGTATCCATAAAACAAAACTTATACAATGTTTTTCAGCACGGCTATAAACCACTTGATATATGCTACCGCTATAGAACAACTATATATAAAGGTTGGTGCAAAAAATTCAAAGCATACTCAACAAAAATTTAACAGATCAAAGCATTTCCAATTTTCTACTTAATAGCAAAATGAGACACGGTGAAATGCTCTTATCAGGTCATATTCTCCACGCCATGACTAAATACTGCTAGTGATACATAAAATATGCAAAAAGAACCGATTCCAAAAGAACAGCAGTGCTAATCAAAGGCACTTTCGGCTTTGTGGAAATTTAAACACAATCTCAATCAGACCGCCGAATTTCTAAATTGTTGCTTGTTTCACATGGTACTAAAAGTAACTGAAAGCTCCACTCCTCATTTAAATTCATGAATGGAAATGACCCATTGGATAACGATATGGTTATTGGATAAAAAATTATTAGCTTTTTAGATATTTAATGCAATGCTGCTATTCAAAGCATAACAGCACGTTAGATACGGCTGAGTAGATCCTCGAAAGAGGCTTACGGTATCAGTCGTCTACTCATTTCTTATACCTCTTCACTGATTGAGCTACTAGTAAAAACAGGAATCCATTTCAAGCAAAAAATATTCTAAAGCAAACTCAGTATTTTCGGAAATTTCTTGAAAAATGTAAAATTATTTCCTCAAGGTGCAACCAAACTGTCAGCAGAATAGTTAAAGCAACAAAAAATGAACAACTTCCCCTAAGTGCATAATTTCTAAAAAAACTATGCAATTTGAAGTTTTTCTCCAGGAAAACGAATAATTCTTTAACTTCTGTAACTTCTCAGTGCATTAAAACTTATCAATTATTGAAGATTTTCAATATAACAAATAATTTTCAAAATCATTTCGCAGTAAAGATCAGCCATATGATGCTCTAGCTCTGATCCACTCCCTACTTTTTCAATCACAACTTTTATTACCATTTCTTTGGAAACATTGATAACAGTGGGCCCATTTTGAGACGTTATTAAATCTCACGAATTTATCCTTCCTTTCACTTAGAATTCAAGATGGTTGCTCTAAAATGAAGATTATGCATAATTGTGGCTTTGCTTAACGCTTAAATCCTTTCACTTGAAAAGAAAAGAAATAAATGCAGAAAAAATGGTGGGTATATTCAGGCCTGCACAAGAGAGACATAAGTTCATCAATTTAGCTTTATGTTTCGCAAATTTCAGTTAAAAAGTAGAATGCCCAATCCCATACAGAGAAGTCGATTACGACGACGAGTAAGAGTGTAGTTACTCCAACAATACCAAATTTTATAGGACCACTTTCTAGTCTTTCCACAATTTCCTCCTTATGCAAAGCACACAGAATAAGTCCAACTTAACATTCATAAACAATACAAAGTCCAAGTCCAATTGCAATCTTATGATTTAGATGAAACAGAAAAATGCGATTCACAAACCAACTTATTGGTTCATTATTTGGAAATACAATGCAGTAACTTGAATTCTCTGCAAATTATTGTGTACACGATAATCAGTAGAGTAAGAAAGCCACATATATGCATACCTTCATGATTTAGAGCACAACCATTCCTGTGAAACGTCGAAATGATCAGATAATTTAATTAAACTAATCTGAAACAAAACTAGAGAATGAGAAAGAATACTTTTGAAGCATTGCACTGCGCTGAATCATACGTTCGGCGAGACCATCGTCTTCATCACGCGGTTCCAACATCTCCACCACTAACGGTTTCGGACTGCTGTAATGGGTTTTCGAAAAATTTCAGACCAAATTAGTATGTATTTTTGCAAAATCAAGAACATATGATATGATTTATCAAACCGAACGACGATGTCATCAAGCACTTGGAATAGTTCCATAAAATGTTTTGTTTTTTAGATTCTAGAATGCTATCGTACATCATAGCAATACATAGAAAAGGAACTTACGCCGTTAATAAGAATACTTTTTCCCGTATCTGATGAAGCGCCTCATTAGCTGATGGCTTACGCTCGAATTCCACAATCCCTTCTCCGGTTGGCTTGCCCTTTTCATCAACTATGTGAACTGCTCGTTCTACTTCACCAAATGCCGAAAATGCATGATAAAGCATTTCATTTGATACAGTTGGTGAAAGTTCTTTAACTCTCAGTGCTGCACCGTGGACCGCAAATCGTACACGAACTGGACGGCCATGTATTATTTTGCCATCAATAGCTTCCTTAGCACTTTCTGCATGAGCGCGTGTATCCTAAAGAAAACTTGGAGTGTAAACTTAGCACAATTCTGAATAAAATGAACAAAAAAGTCAAAACTGAACCATAATGATGATACATAAAGAGAACTAACCAATCGTAAAAAAGCAAATCCTTTCCCACTTAAATAGCATTCTGCGATGTCACCATGTGGTGCAAAGAGTTCCTTGAGCTCTTGCTCCTTCAAGTCATTCGGCAAATTGCCAACAAATAAACGGCATCGGCCAGTAAATTTCTTTTTCGGTAAATCACTCATCAGATCGGTTTCACTGAACGCTTGCCCGGAAAGGACATTCATCGAAGACATCATATTCATTGGTCCTCGACCACCACCACCACCACCACCACCTGGCCCCATTCCCATTCCACGAGTCGCTTGTCCACTAGATGGCCCTCCCATATTACTCGATGAATTGCTGTATTGGTATTCGCTTGATCGGTGATGATGCCTTAACACTCTTACTGTTTAAAATATATTGGTCTGACAACTTCACCAATGTTTTGACTTATGTGGTTTCAGATCTCAAGCGGATCCTGATACACTCAGGATTAACAAGTCATCAGCGCGGTTTTTTTCAACAAATGAATGAATAAGTTTAAATGAAAAGAAAATGATAACACAAGATGTGTCTCCACCCGCTTGGTTAACTACCGCAAGAACGCGCATGCCTCATACTCTTTGTTTGTTAAGATACATTTATTCGTATGTGCCCAAGATACATATGTAACTATTACATAAGTACTTCATGTGGAATAATAGTCTTAGGCACATGCGAATAAAATATCTTAACAATTAATACAAAAGTAATACAAATTAATACAAAAGGTCAAACATGCTCATCACTGAATCAGAACAAAAAAAACCTTTCGTTGGAAGATGTTCGGCCAGTACGATCACGCTCATTCCTCTCTACCCGTTCCTCTTTTATGGCATTACGTGGACTTGCATTGCTACCACTAGCTGGTCTTCCACTGCTCACGCTGTTCCGTTTAACATCACCATCATTACGTCCTCGATCACTCATTCTTCTGTAAATATCCTCTCTTACATTTACCATCCCTGCTTAATCAGTGCCTTATCCCTACCTTCCGTCAACCAAATACCCCTCGACCTACCACTCGCAACTATACCGGAACGACATGACATACCCACATCTCCCTATATGTCCACAATGACCAGCAACCAATCAATAAACCAGAGAATAGTTTCAGAACACAGACGTTCCTAAATATCGCATATAGTAGCTCTAAATCTGGCCCCCATGCTGACCGTGAAATACCGAGCAGTGCAGAATAACTTAGATTGAAAGGATTGGTGTTATGGATCATAGTCGAAGGATTTGGAAACCATTGCTTGAGGATTGAGCTGTATTACTTTCTCATCTGTTTATTCGGCATTTAAACAGTTGAGTAAATTACTTAACCCCGCTAATTTTTAATGGCTTGACGTTGCACAATGGAAATTTTCAGATCGGGTTACGAGAAGGACTGCATGACTAGTCGGCTCATCGACGAAGCATCGGCAGAAATATTCAGCAGTGACGCATCATATTATTTTCTTCTCCTCCCAAGTTTAATTCCAGGTTCATCTTTATATAACCATTTAATATGTAACAATCATCTATATGTATTTCATACTCTTGGTAAAAATTGTTCTTCATAAGCCAATTGATGTCCATAAAACAATTACATTTGAATTGTTGAGCAGCTCTGTGACAAAACTTATTTCTTCTAATCATCCTAGTTTTTTCCACATAAAAGCAAAGGCTATTGGTTATCTGTTGGTTAAATACTAGCTATTGGCTATTCGTTTGCAAAGGTTATCCGTGAGCTTTAGATTATTCTCGCAACTCATCCGCTTTATTTTTAATTCTACGATGTTGGTCTTATTTCTTGCATTCGAGAAATTGGAATTTCAAATAATAAAGTAAATAATCTATGCGGAAAGATACCTAAAAAATGGAGTTTCAGCTGCACTAATTTTCAATTTTCTTATTTGGTTTGGTTTCGAGTTCTTTATCAACAATTAGTAAATGTCAAATGACTATATCAGCATATCTCACATCAACCTTTCCTGATCTTCCGATTGAAGTCAAAAATTATGTTGAAGGTATTATTTATCAATATTAAAAAAAATCATATGAAAAATGGATTTTCTTTATATTAATTCGTTTTACAAAGATAAATATAGTGTTTGCAGCAGTTTTAAGAGAAAACGCTGATGACTTATTGTCAAAAGAAGATATTGTCGAGGCTGTTGGTATGCATATACAAAGTTCTGTAGAAGGGCTTAGCGATGAGGCTATTGAGCTTGTATGTGAAAAGCTTGCTTTATTGCTTCATAATGGGTAAACCTTTTTTTATCGATAATCCCGTTACAGTTATTTTAGTTCACTTACAGTTATAATTTTGCATTTTGTAGCTTCCAAAAGCCTTTCAAATTTAACAAGTAAATTTTTAGAAAAAATATTAGTCATCGATCAGATGAAATTGGCCAGCGGCGTCTTAAACAAACTATTGATATAAGTGCCCAACATTTCGATTCCGAGGATATTACAGGTATATGGAAAGTCAGTACACGAGACACACCTTCGGTAAGTTGCATTAATTAATAACTATACAAAAGTTGAAGCGCAAAAATTATGAAAACCAAGGTGAAATGTATTGCAGCAAGTCGATAGGAAAAAACTTGAAAAGGCTGAAACACGTGCATTAGAAAAAGCCACAAAACGTGAAATTGGTGATGGTCCAAAAACACAAAAAAGGAAGCCATCTGACCTTGTAGCTACAGCCTCACAGTCAACAAGTCGTCGTGATGGGAAATCTGATAATTCTGGAGGTGGGAGTGTGATGGCTGTACACCTTACTAATGTTGACATATCAATAGGACCTAAGTAAGTTGCAACTTGACTGGGAAAGTTATTCGATATTTCGAATTTTTTAAACATTTCGTTCATTTAGACTTGATAATTTTGCTTTTCTCTCTTTGTTTTTTCTTTGAAAAAATATTTACAGCAATTGCTTTAATTTTTTCAGGCAGTTATTGTGTGGCGCTGATGTTGTTTTAACTTGTGGTCGACGTTATGGTTTGGTTGGTCGAAATGGAGCTGGAAAATCTACTTTTCTGAAAATGATTTCCTCGTAAGAGTTAGAATGAAATATTGAAACTTTCGTCTCTTATGTAATAGTTAATTAGCCAATGTTGATGTAATTGGCAAGGAGCTGAAAGTCTGTAAAATGTTTAAAATTTACTTGACTAATGTAATCTGCTTCACCAAACATAATGTGATAATGAGATCTTTGTTTCAGAAAACAGCTAAAGATTCCCTCTAATATCACCATGTTAAGTGTTGAACAGGAGGTGGAAGGCGATGATACAGAAGTAATGCAATCTGTGTTACAGAGCGATACTCGAAGGATGGAGTTGTTATGTCGCGAAGAAAAATTGCAGAAATTTCTTAAGGAGTAAGTTTTGTTAACATTATATCGATTATTACATAGCAAGATAAATTCGATTCTCACTTTTACTGCTGTCAATCCCGAGATTTTGAGACAGATCTGGAAAACTTCCAGACGTTGTTCGGAGAAGTTTAAGAATTGGTTTTTTGTTTCAGATCTCCTAGCGATGAGGATAAAGAGAGATACAGTGCTGAATTAGGAAAAATTTATACAGAAATGGAAGAAGCCCAAATGGACAGAGCGCCTGCACGTGCTGCTTCAATACTTTTTGGACTTGGTTTTACACCGGAAGAGCAGAAACAGCCTACAAAGTACTTGTTGTTAATTGTTTCGTGAATTATTTTCAGCATGACCTGCTTGAAAACTTTACTGACAAACTTTCTTTCCGTATCTACTGCTTTCTACAAATTAAAGGTTTTTTTTTCTACAGATAACAATCTTCAGAGAGTTTTCGGGTGGTTGGCGGATGAGATTAGCGTTGGCAAAAGCGTTGTTCATGAGGTGCGTTGTACTACTTATTGTAATTATAGAATTCTCGTTCTTAAGAAAAATTCATTTTATACTGCTATTTTTGCAGGCCTGACTTGCTTTTGCTGGATGAACCAACAAATATGTTGGATATGAGAGCAATAATTTGGTTGGAAAATCATCTTCAGGTGTCATTCAGATTTCTCCGAATTCTTACTTAAAATTTTTGTTTCTGATTTTGTATGAAGTTTGATTTTGAAATATAGTTTTAATGCGGGCACTAGCAGCATATTTTCAGCTTCAAAGAGGACTTGCAGACAAAAGATAATAATAGATTATTTAAATAAAAACTTTACTTCTCTTAGGGATTTAATGTTAGATCACGCTTGTTATTCAGAAACTAAAATTAAGCGGCAATGTTTTTCTGTGTTGTGAATTGTATATCATTTTTTGGTCTATCATTTATTTGCTATAATAATTTCCAGGAATGGGCCTCTACAATTGTAGTAGTTTCTCATGATCGCAGTTTTTTGAATACTGTTTGCACGGATATTATACATTTGCATTCAAAGAGGCTAGATCAGTACAAAGGTAATTATGCTATTTTTGAGAAAACAATGAAAGAGAAATTAACGCAGCAAGAAAGGTTTGTTGCTTTCCTGTTCCAGTTTTTATTTGCATTATTTCGCTAATACAAGCAGTTTTTAAAGTTTTGTTCTATTTGCCAATTTTTCGGATGTGATTCGCATATTTTGATCCATTAAAGTAATAGATTTTTCCAGGGAATACGAAGCGCAACAACAATTTCGTCAACATACTCAAGAATTTATTGATAAATTTCGATACAATGCTAAGCGAGCATCGATGGTGCAAAGTCGTATCAAAATGCTTGAAAAATTGTAACGCTTTTTCTTTAACTACTGAACTGAAACTTCGTAAGCAACATTATTTCTTATAATTTAAAATTACGGATAGGAACGAATCATTCGGCATATAGTTTTATTGTTACGGACTATCAATGCTGCGGTGAGTGTTTTCCGCTCTTAATAGAGAATATTTACTGCTAACAAATGTAAATGTTTTTTCAGACCAGTACTTAAACCCATTATTTTGGAAGGTGAAGTGAAGTTGAGCTTCCCCGATTGCGAAGTACTGAATAATTTGGTACTGCAATTAGACGATGTTTCTTTTAGGTTATTGTCTTAAAACCTTATGAGTCTAAATATTTTCAAGATATTCTTGAAACTACTAGATAAATTGCACTGTATCTCACGAGTCATTTTTTAACTTTCTTGAATTGTTTCTGTTTATTGACGAAGAAAACTTCGTCAAATTTCTCACATTTCTTCATCTACAGTGGAATGGAAAAATCATTGATACGTTTTATAAATCGTATATTTTAGATATACGTCAGTTTCACCGATTATATTTACTAAGCTACAAATTGGTTCATATGCAGATTCACGCATTTGCATTGTACGTTTGTTGCTTTTGGCAAGTATGCGAAATTTCTGTAACAATTGAAATTGATTCGAATGGAAAGAAGACGGACAGATATTTTTATCAACATTGTTTATGAAAGTGTTGAGAAAATGAGAATTACAGGTTGGAGAAAATGGAGCTGGCAAAACAACACTACTAAAATTGCTTCTTGGTGACCTGTCACCAACAAGTGGTTTCCGTAATGCCCATCGCCGCTTAGAAATAGGATATTTTTCGCAACACCATATTGACCAGCTTGACATGGATATATCCGGTATAGAAGTGCTGGAGAAAAGATTCCCCGGTATTCTACACTCAAGAAATTTGTTTAGACATCTTAATTCATTTCAGTGGCTACAATTTCTCTACTTCAGAATAGCACCATTTCTTATATACCTTTTTAGGTAAAAGTCAAGAAGAATACAGAACCGCACTTGGCCGGTTCGGACTTTCTGGTGATTTAGCGTTGCAATCGGTCATAACTCTTTCTGGAGGACAAAAATCCCGTCTCGCTTTTGCGAGTATTGCTATGTCGAAGTACACTTTGATCAAGTTTTGCAGAGTTGTAAATATTTTACAGTAGCACGCCCTACCCGATCTTTTATACTTTTTGATTGAATAATCGAGAAATTTTGTTCCTTTTAATTTTTGCTTGCAGCCCTAATTATTTGATCATGGATGAACCTACAAATCATCTGGATGTAGAAACGGTCGAAGCATTAGGTAGAGCGTTAAACTCCTTTAAGGTAAATACTTTATTCCACTCAACTACATTTTGCTCAAATTTGTGCCATTGCATATTTATTTCTGTGAGCTTTATCTTCACAAGTTCTTCCATACATAAGCACTTTGATTCCCAAGTTCATTGTATATCATTGTTATATTATCAATTTACAGGGAGGAGTGTTGATCGTTTCTCATGACGAGAAACTCATTGATATGGTTTGTAAAGAGCTGTGGGTAGTTAAAGATCGTTGTGTGATGACTCTAGAAGGAGGCTTAGAAGAATATAAGAGACATGTCATGACACAGCTCGCCCTTTGATGAATTCTTTTTGCTTTAATGGTTGTAAATCATTATATGCTTTGAATGATTTGAAATAAATTTATGGCGGATCTTTTAAGTTAAATACATTTTGTCGTTACCCATGATTGAAGCTGTTTTCTTAAATGTTAGTTGACATAAAACTCTTTTAATGAGCATAACCTTTCCCACAAGTTCATTTTGAAATATCATAAGTAAGCAAATGCATTGTCCTATTTTTTATGATAGTATTTCTGAAATGCTCCAGTTTTATAGATCGGAGACACTTCTTGACCTCAACATTAATTTGAGTTATTCTTTGTTCTATTTTTTTTGGGTTTTTGCTAATTTCTGTGATTAAGATTTGGAGATATTTTCACTTTATATTGGCCCGACCTATTTTTCAATCCTTAAACGATGTTCACTGCACTTGCAAGAGGAATATTGATCGTTCCATGACGAGAAACTCATTGATATGATTTGTAAAGAACTGTGGGTAAGAAACAACAAAGTCCATTAAAAATCACAGAACACCAAGACGTAAGATTGATAAAATGGAAATCGGATAAAAACAAATTCATGGTGAGGTGGTTCACAATAAGCAGCACCACTTTTTCCGTTTCATCTCTCGTCGTTTCATTTTTGCGGCGAACACATCAGCTACAACATCGCCTGGCACCTATTAATAAATCAAACAGTCGCTTGAAAAGCAGCTTTCACCCTACCTCACTTGAAATATTCCCATATACCCTACTGTATGATGCGAATCGACATTTCAAAGTACAGCAAACAAATCGAAATCTAAATAAGCTTTCGGATATTCCCCTTATATAAAGCGGAAACTTAGTTGAACAAAAAGTATGTTTTTACTAATTTCACATTTTCTATTTCATTAGTGACGGAAGTCAAATTGTTGCTTGTTTCACGAATTGTGTAAGGATGTATCCTTACAAGTCATGAGCAAATAGCTTTTGAGTACTCTACTTACCTGCGAGAAACGCAATTTCGATAGCTCTTCTCGTTTCATAGCGGAAAGCTTATCGATAAGTAATGTCATGGTGGGAGAGTAGCGATCATGCTCGGCAACAGCGCATGCAATTTGAAATAATTTCACTCTGTCCAATGTATTTGCCTGTAGCAAATAAGCATGATATTATTTTCCTGAATAAAAAGCTCCTCAAGTTATGTTTGTAAGAAAAACAAACATCAGCAAAACAGTAAAAAGAAGGGGTTTTACGGATAGTTATACAATCGAGAAATTTTTCTTCAACTTGATACGCAACAGTTGTCTGTTCGGAGTGGCTTATCCGACTTACATACGTGCTTCAAATTTTTAATATTAATCTTTTCGCTAATTATTCTTTTGGTGAAAAAAACAGTATAATGAAATGGAGTCAAGCTTGAAGCATTTTAAATTATGATACTGCGAATCAAACGTTAGTCTTTAAATTTTAATATGTGCAATGAAACTTTCCAATATCTTCACTCCAATTTACCTGTCTAACAATGACATCTTCACATTCCTCGATCACAGGTTTCATCCCAAAATAATAGGCCATTTTTAAAACAACGATGACGTTAGAAACTGCAATTGACAACGTTCAATCTATCAAAAAGATGATTGTACAGCGATGACTATCTGACAGATCGTAACAACACCCATTTTCTTTTGCATTAATTTGAAAAGAAAAGAAATCCAATTAGTATACTGACTGGGATTAATCATCTCTATTTGAAAGTTTTATTTTAAATGCAATGTATGTAACTTTTCGCCATATCAAGAAAGCATCTCTATTTCCTTGCTGATTTCCGGTTACGGCATATCTGATATGTTAACAGTAATATCCCCATGGAAATGAAATGACAATGTTACCAGTAAGTATGATCTAATACTTAATTTTTATTTTGTTGGCGAAGCAGCTACGCCTGAAGTCACAATAGCATCATGGGAAAGTAGATTTGTAATTTGTCTTTTAGCAGACATCTTTTTGCAACCAACAAGTGATATGACCTAATATCTTAATTGTAGCCTGAAAGGCATTTCGACATAAGGTGGTGAAAAAAGATAAATGGATTGAATACTTACAAACTACTTCTGTTACCCACGCATACGACAATATGCACTATCACAAGGAGGAGGATGATGAACTGCTATCATTGCATTGCTTCTATCAATTACTATCAATATTATCACTGCATTCTCGACGATTCACATATTGTTATCCTCTTAAGCCCTTTCAACACGTGCTATGCTAGGGCACATACCTGTTCGGTATATCTTAACATACTTGTCACCAACGAGATCAAAACTTGCTCCAATTGACTTATAAAATTTATTAAAATCTGACATCCTATCTATTTCTTCTTAGAAGAAATACTAATAAAACGAAATCTTCCAAGTGCAATCTTTTTTTTCACGCCTGTCATCTTTAAATTTTCAGACTGGAATGAGAACAAGACAAAAATTAACTTGTTATAGGCTTGCGAGTAGGACAATAACACACAACTCTCAGTAATTCGATAAAATGTTCGTAGCTGACTTCAACGCTGAGAGTTAAATCTTCACCCGCATTTTTACCGGAAAACATTGTGGAGAAAAAATTTGAAAATTCGGCAAGCCAACCAGGATTCACATACACTGGACGACCTAAAAATCAAAATCTTGAGGTCTTCGATATGTTTGTATCTCTCACTGACGCATCAATTTTGCCCTACTAACTTGTACTCTTTTCTACAACATGATAAAAGCATATCCAGAACTTTCTGCAACGATACCCAAATTTTCAGGTGAGAAGATCATATCTCCGATCTACTCGTTAGTTAACGGAAGTTTGACAAGCAGGAAAAGTACGATGCAGATAAATGAGTATAGTATACAGATCTTTAAATTAAGGGTTGCCATCTCTTCTTATGATGGCGCAATACTAGGATTGCAAGCTTGTTTACCTTCAACAATCACTCGAGCTGACCGAAGTGGTGTTAGAGCTGAGAAATCGTCGTAAACACTTTTCGTCACTGTTGTCATCGTTGAATGAGTTGAGTTCATCGCTGTACACATTACTGCTTTATCGACGGATCGGTTACTCTTAAAAAAATTTTCTTTCATAAGAGCGCAGTTTTCCGCAGCGGTGCCTATAAATATATGATGGCGGAAGTCTTCACGATTGACGTATTTCCTGCAAGCTTAAATTGCTTTTCCAACATATAGCTTAATATCGAGCATTTCTTATGTAACACCATGTAAATTGATTGCATACATGGAAATTGTATCGCACATTTACATACATGAGACTATACAATATTTATCTACTGAATATGTCCATATAAGATGTAGAATGCGCAAACTAACAGGTCCTTTAAGTTTATCCGTTAATTGGAAATGTAGCCGTGTCTGGAAATCAATGAGAGTCGAAGACATCAATCTTATCACTTAGGACATCATTGCTAATCAGAATTTTAAAATCGATTTTCTTTTTTTGCATTCAGCGCTTTTCCAAATTGTTGCTGATTTTCATAGCTCCCTCGATTTATTCTATTAAGAGCATGAAGTTGAAAGAATGCTGAAGTCTTAAACTTCGAATCTCAGAAGCAATTCCTACACGGGCAGCAATACGCATTTTCCAGCTTCTCATCCTCCTCACCATTCCTTCTTTATTCCTACTCTTCCGTCTTACTTCCCAAATACCATATACTTATCCGCCTCCTCTTTCTCCTCCATCAAGAATTGCTGCACACCGTCCATTCGATATGCAAAAACAATGAATCGATCGAAGAATGCTACTTCGGACCATCCATCGACAAATCAATAAAATGACGTGGTATTTGGACGTGGTTACTTGTATAAATACCTCCCATACATATCTATCTATTTCTGCTATCCTTCCTCTTTCTCATTCCATAACATCCATTCATTATCATATGAGTCTGCACGTGAGTGTCTGTAATACATTAATAGGCTAAGTGAGATGAGTTATGCTATGAGTAGGAGTAATCCTCTGTTCGTAATGTTCATATTGCATCATATTGCTTCCTCTGTTCGATCCTTTTGTGACAGAGAGTGGACATCTTTGACTAAAGGGGAGGGAGAGAAAGAGAGTACGGTAGCGAAGAGAGAAATATATGCAAGATAGAACTAATCATTCTTCAGCATTGGTCTATTTCAGAAACCTACGGTAGGTTCTAATTCTTTCAATCCCTTCTGTTTTGGTTTATTAATAATTGCACGTAATCTTTTACAAATGTATGTGTCGAGACAGAAATGGCCTATATATTTTATGTGAACGTGATATCTATTACGTCTTGAAAGGAAATATCACTTCACTTCTCTATCACTTATTATGTGGAGATTTTGGCATGCTTTGATTAGTCTGAAGTGTATGAATTATTAATCCTTCTTATCTCTCTATCTCTCGCGTAACTTATTTATCTTAATTATGATAGTAAATCTGTCTAGAAACGCTCTATCTAATATCCTTACAGCTCTTTTTTTTTACCTAATTTGCATATTGCATTTATCGATGTCAGTAAAGTTTAGTTTCTTATTTTTTGGAATTGTCGGAGTTTGGAATGTTTATCAACACCAAGAGGTTACGAATTTAGAGGAATTTATCGGAATTTAAGCCTTCGGTATTCCTTTAATAGTTCCAATGCTGAGTAGAGAAGAGTTCCATTAAGGATGATTTAGTTTTCAGTAAGATATAGTATTGAAGTAAAGAAAGTAAAGAAAAAAAAAATGAATATAGTATATGTGATAGAGAAGGATATAGAAAGAGATAATTGTAGTAAAGAAAGTAAGGGAATGGATTTTGAAATTAAGAAATGTTACCTTTCATCAAACATCATTAGCCATTTTCTTCTGTTTAAGGATAGAAATTGTTGATGTAATACGAATTTCTTTAATGCAATTGCAAATATCGTCGAAATTCTCAACAATTTTATAATACTTTCAATAATTTAAATTCTTAACATTGCCGCTTCTTTATTGTTTTAACTATGAAATTGTTTGATATATTATTATTTTTTTTTTTAGTACTCTTTGAAAATATTACTTACCTTCTAACCATAAAGGGGAGGAGAAATTGGTGAAGAAAGTGTGCGTAAAAAAGAGAGGCGGGTGACGACAAAGGCGGGAGTATATCTATCACATTTCTTTGGCAAAAGTTATTAGTTAATGGTTGTGTTGGTTACGGTGGGGTATGGTTTGGTCATTCTCTACATCTGTTGATTGATTTATTGTTCATTCATTTGACATATTGTTTTGGGAAGAATAAAGTTGTGTGGGACATGACAGAAGTATAGAAGGATATGTGATGTATATCGGAAAGTTAGTAACGCGTTGTAGACATAAGGTGAAATTAGAAACGTGTTCCGTTGTCTTGTAACATGGGACCAGGATACGATCTTGCTACCTATTAAAGGCACTCATTATTCATGCACGAAATTCATTTAGTCAGTCTGAGAGGGAATAATAGTAGAAACTCTATCACTATTAAAATTGTGTTAGGGGCACTGACAAAGTAGTCTGATGAATGATGAGTATCTCCCTGAAGACTACTTTTACTTACAATATATATATATATATATATTGTAATCTGTTGAGCAGCCAGTGTTACATCTTCCGCAAAAGTCGCAATTCCGAGCTGCCGGACTTTCCATTCATATATCAACTTTCTGTGCTTCCTCACTTTAAACGTTAAGAAAAGGCTCATTCATCCTTTTTGTCTACCGCGAATAAGGCGGTGATACCTTGATTAAAAACTGAAGGTGTCAACGTTCCAATTTTTATAAATTGGGATCATTCAGGATGATGATGAGCCCGGCTTTTGCAACAACTCTGGCGTATGATCCTACCGGCAATCCATATCAAATGACGTATCCAGCCGGTGCAGCAATTTATCCGGCAACGACTACACCCTTTCCGGTTCCTGCTGCAGCTGATCCCCGTACGTTCGAGATGATACCGCATCGAATTTTTGTTGGCGGATTTCCAGCCACAGCAAGTTTCGCCATATCTTGAGTTTCATTCTTTTTCAGTAATTTAAAAACTTTGTCGTACATTTTTTCCTTAGGAACTATCCATTTATTCCATTTGGCTTAATTAATTATTTTAAATTACACTGACCAAGTAGCTTTTCGCGTAACTTACTTATCCACTTACCTAATCACTTATTCAACTGTTCATGTTTACGTACATCAAGCGAATGATTTGCAGACTACGGAACTTGATTTGCGTTTATTTTTTGAAAAATTTGGTCATGTTCGTGAAGCGAAGGTTATTCGCAGCAGTGAGGGGACATCCAAAGGATATGGTTTCATAACGTTTGATACAGAGGATGAAGCAAAAACTGTCATGCAGATTAGCGCGGTAAGACATTTTGCAATCCACAAACAATGATTCTCAAAGCAAATTCGACAATTTTAAATAGTATTCATATACATTTGGTAGAACCAAGAAGCGGAAAAGCTTGAATTCAAAGGGCGTCGGTTAAATCTTGGACCAGCTATTCGCCGCATGATTCATGGCCCACGTTTCGCTCCAGGTGATTTTAATTTATATCATTTGTGCATAAATGGAATCATTTTCAGAGATTCATACAAAATGTTTTGAATTTGGTTTCAGTGTAAGTAGATGGGATAGAGGTATTTATTAATGAAAGTCATGAGAACGTGAGCTAAAATATGTAATTATTTCAGCAATGATTTGTACAAGTATTTCAATTGTTCTTCATAGCTGTCCTACTGAAAAGAATATTTTTCATTGATAGTTGTGTTTGATAAAGAACTTTAAGTGCTGTTAAAGTTTTTTCATGTTTTTATGTCATTGCAACATATGTTGAAAGGATTGGGAAGGTTTTCTCGATACCTATGGACCATGGAACATCTATCAACAGAGTTATAATCAGTGGAAGTGCAATCAGTGTATATTAACGTAAAGTGATTTTACTGTAGAATATGCTATTGCAACACCAACGGGACAACTACTTGCTACATCAGCATTCGGAGGGATAACTTATGCGATTTCACAGTCACCATTTGTTGTGATGCCACCACCGAATCAAGTGCAGCCATTCGTCTACTCGCCAGTTTCTACTGTTGCGCCAGCGCAATACACAATTTCGAATACTGTAAGTCTCTCTTTTAGGAAAAGGAAAGAACAGAGATTTTGCTAGATTTCAGATCTTTGCTAGACGTTTTGTGATGTATAGGAAAATGAAGTTTTTATAGGATGCGGGGAACAATAGACCTCAGCAATTTGTTGCAAACAACGGTACGGCACCAGTGATGCTTGTACCAAATAATGGTAATACATTAAGTCCACATGATTCTCCGCGTACAAACGGTCTGGCTGGACAACCGCAAGCAGTTAATGGTTCGGTACATATTTCAACATCTGGACAACCACCACAACAGCAGCAGACATACGTAAGCATGCAACAGATAGCTCAAGGAACTACTCAACCGCTTACACCAGTTAGTATTATTTATAAACATTGTTAGAAGAACGAAACTCGACCTGCAGTTTAATTATGAGTTTATTTTAGATTACACCGTCGGTTGCTACACAGCGTGCAGCGCTTTTTCCACCAACAGCTGCTTATTATGCTCCAACTGCGCCTGCTAACGATATGACTCATTACTCGCAAATGACTGCGCCAACATATTTCTTTGCTCCTGGTGGATATCAAACTGTTTGTATTACTTATTTTATTTTATTTCGCTTTTTCAGAGATTATATTATTTCCTTCACTATGCGTAGTTCAGTTTCAGGATTATTCGCAGTACTCGTTGATATCGGCTAGAAACTGTTTGTTAAAATATTTTTAAAAGGAGAGAAAATATTATAGCCATCCCAAATGGCCGAAATGACGAGCAATAAGAGTAGTATTAATTTGTGAAAATAATATTTAATTATGAAGCGTACATTTATATAGCTTCTGCTGTTTTAAAAAAGTGAAGAATAAAATAGATTGACGGAACCGGACAAACTGCTGCGATGGCAATTCCAGCACCAAATCCGATTCAGTTGCTGCCGCAGCCAATAACACCGCAGACTCCACAGCCATGTTTCTATGAAGAAAGTATGATTGGTGGTTGGCAAAATCCAGCCGAAGTATGTCCATCTTTCGAATTTTTTTTGTGTTGGAGTTTTTATAACATTCCATCAGAAATCTTGAAGAGAGCTTGAATAAATGAAGAGGACTGGCTGTATATATTATATTATTAATAATTGGCGGGATGCTTTTAGGTTCGTCCTACAAGTACCCCTCGACGTAGTCCGATGAAGTCGGTCGTATCACTTTCAAATCAACTTGGTCAAGTTAATCTGCAGCAATACGGTAAGCAGACTTTTGGTAGGCTGTTGTTGCGCAACTGCTTACTCTTTTGCAGAAAAAAATAGCCATTCGGCAACTCAAGAAAGCAATTGTACAGCTGTTTGGCTTCTAAATAGCTTTTCCCAAAATGCAGCCACTTATATTTAAGTAGGGTATCATGTTGGGAATGATAAGACGGTGATAACGATAATTTTCAGAACGTAAAGAATGTCAACAAGGAGGAAATGCTGCAACTGCTACTAACAAACAGTTCCCATGATATTAAATGCCAGTCAGCGAAAGTTGAGCATTTGCATGTATATTTGTGAAAGACCTTGCGATAAATCATACCCTGCCGTTTATTTCCTTTATTATGCATGCATAGATATTGTAATAATAGTCCAGTTTTTCCTTTCCATCAAATCTGAGCACGTTTGACATGCTCAAATTTAGGTGAATCTTCCTTTGCCCCCATTTTTTATCAAAGTCATGTTGAGCCCTTAGTGACTGTTTTACTGTTTGCATTATGTCTTGTATCTGTAGTATGTCTGATATTTGAAATGACAACATTTTGTTACGATGTACATGACTTGAATTATTTCACTTTATTCAGTAATTTATGACCTTTACAATTGTATTCGAAGTAAATATTGTTAAGTGTTTGGTCATATTTTATTGCTGTCATTTAGGTTTCGTCGGATGACTGACATTTGCATGTCTTCATCCCATTTCAGCATTACTTCTTTCTTTTCCATTATCTTCAGAGATTACATGGAAATTTGCCGGTCCAATTGCTTTTAACGTATTTAAACAGCAGTATGTTTTATAATAGATGCTCTGTATGGCTGCTTTTCTTTTTTGCAAAAGTTTGTATTCTGTGAACAACATTTGTGTATGTCGTACTCTATGTTGTTTATGTAATTTGGAAGAATTAATAAACGTTTTTTAGCAGTATTACTGCGGAGAGCAAAACTGTAAATCCTATTTTAAAAAGTTCTCATTTTGACGTCATTGATGGCAGAGTGCATGTATTTCATCCTATCAGTTTTAGGTAGATGGAATATTGTGGATCAGATTTATTTGCATGGACCATTGACTGTGACATTGAGGTTCGATTGGGTACTTGTATTCATAACGTGATGAACGACTTGACTTCACTATTAAGAGAAATTGAGGTATCGTGAAGGAAGGTACATTTCGTCCTGGCCATTTATGCAAAGTTTCAGCATTAAACATCTAAACAATAGCTCAATTCATCAGTAGCTTTTTTAAAATTAATAAATGTGTTTTATCGTCACTTGTAAGTGGCTTCTAAATCACTGAAATAGCTTACATAATTAAGTATACAAATATAAGTTGAATAAACTAGGAAGTAAATGTGCATTTAGAAGATCTACAGTAGATTTAGAAGTGGAATTGAGCTAAAAGAATCTGGACGAACACTTATAAAATAATTCATCATAGCAGTATCATACTTGTAATTCAATCTGAATTTCACAGTGAACAAAGGGAACAATTTTAATTACTCCGGATAAAAATTATGAATTAATTCTCCTAAATTAGTTCGTAAGAAAGTAACGATTTCGAAATCGCTACTCAAAATATTTCATTTTTTGATTTGGATGTATTTGCAATTCCAGTTTGCGATAATTATCACTTCGGTCATTTGATGATGGAACTATTTATAAAACAGCTTATTTTATAAAACAACGTACATTCCTAAGTAGTATCATTAATACGATTACGTCCAATCGTTCTTTGACAACTATTTCAAAACACAAGTAAATTCAAAAATAGAAATAACATCAGCAGAAAATTTAAACTCATTGTGCTACCGTATACTACGGAACATTAAATTTTCATGCATATCTAAGACAATTGTCATGAAAATCTCTAAGCATTAATTGTTTGAACATTCATTAAACAAGAAATAATATGTACAACTTGATGTAGATATATGTGTAGGAGTGATAATTGCTTGGTTGAAGTGATTGGTATCATTTTGTTATCATTGCAATGATATCATTTTGCATTGATTAAATATTAATTTATTTAATGATAACAATGTTTGAAATGAGTAATTTTCTCTAAGAACAAAAAAAAATCAGAAAACGATGAAACTTTTGTGGGAATAAGCTAATTAATATATTATTCATTAAAAATATAGCAACAAAGTAATTTATACTTTTTTCATCTGATGAACAAAGAAAAAGAATTTCTTGGAAAAAGAATTTGTCTTTCCATTTTCGATTCAAAAATAGCGCAAGAAAGTTTCAATGATTCATCTTTTATCCGAGCTATTTTTGGTGGTAATTCTTTCCATTCCGGAATAAAGCAAGTGTTCATTTCCGTTCTCGGCTCACCAAAAAAACGTTTTCGAAAAATCTTTAAGTTTCCGCACATTTATGTCTTTTAGCGGAATTCCTCCAAATTCTTTTTTAAATTCTTGCAAAACAATTTCTAAAATATGTCAGTGCATATAATATATTCTTGTAAGGATAACATTTTAAAATGGAAATCATTTTAGATAAAATATGAAGGTATTTTTGTACTAATTACATGTGTGAAGAATTTAATAAGTTATTCGCTAAACAAGCGATTCTTCTCTCAATATCAATGATCAAAAAAATTCTTGAAAAAGGAAGTTCTTTATGAAAACTTCAATTTTACCTGGATCATCTTTCAAAGATCTATCAACAAATGTCTTTGAATCTACATCAATCCGATGCAGATCCATCGCTGTAACTATTAAATTGCTGCAATATATCTTCCTGCAATAATGCATTTTAAAATAAATACTATTATGAAATTAATGAAAAAAAAATGATGTTAAAATACGATTTGATCGAATTGATTGTATTAAAAATTATTGGGAAAGTATTCATATAAAATTAGGATTGATATCTTTTATAATTATATGAAAATATGTACAGGAAGTTATGCAAAAATATGAACTTTAAAATATATTTTATAATTATACAAAAAATATGTCGAAAAAATTGTAAATGATGTATTGTTTTTAAATTTGTATAGGAATTTATATCGAAATTTTTTAAAAAGTACAAAAGAATTGTAATATAAAATGAAAGTTAGACGATAAAAATGAAGAATCTTTTAGGTAATTGATTATTTGAAATAGTTGTTATTCACTTAAATTCAAAGATGTATTGTAAATTGATAAACAAGATGATCCGATAATAAAATATATCGTTTATTTTAAGCTAATAACAAGATTTGTTTCTTGCGATCATCTCTTCAGTGGAATAGTTGTAAGTTTAAATACTAATTATCTTCGTAAGAATAAATCTTCTTGTTATATCTTGTAAAAAAATATTGAACAACAACTGGCTGTGGACCATACGCCATCATATATTTATGGACAATGTTGGTGTTGTGACTTGTGAGACCTATAAGAAGTTGAATTACTATTCGAACTTAATTTTCATTAAAAACAATTGGAAAACGAAGTCACAAGACCCAACGAAAATTAATTGGTGCTACTAGGATTAATTTACATCTGCTTCTTTAAAACTAACTATTTGGGCCATTGCTTTTTCTATTGATCATCGGATCATAGTGTCCAAGAATCCGGCTCGATTAATAATGTTTCTATTGCTAATCTTTCAGTGTGTTTCATAAAAGATGGTCCTATAATTTAATCAATCATAAATAGTGCGTCATATAAGATAAAAATTGCAAATAAAAGTATTACAGGTAAAGCAAACACACCTGGAGAATCCATGTGATTGAGTCAATCTAACAATTAATTGACGTTCGTAGCCAATAGGTCTTTGCAATATTTCAGGTATCGGTGACATTTTTATTTCATTCATTTCGAAGTCATTTATTTTTTGCATAGTTTTACAAGCTAAATGCGATATATATTAATATCATTAAAATTCTTCACTATTTCAAATCATTTCACAAAATAGCTATAATCGTATCTCTGAAAGAAATCGCGATGATACATAGTTATAGGATTTCTTTTACTAAATAGAATAATGATTTAGAGATAGTAAGTAATACCCGAACTTGAAGGATATAAAAATTAAATATATAAAAGTGAAAACAATGAAAAGACATTTTCGCAGTTGAAGTTCGTTACTTCAAAATGAGAATGAAATGA